TTAGAGCAGAATGTGAAACGTGATTTACAGAGACCCATGCCATATTATCCGATATCGAGTTTCCACCCATCACATGTTAATAATTAAAATCCATGTCGTTCACAAAATATTTTGTGACAGCCCCCCAGAGCAATAATCTCAACACCAACTTTACATGTTTTCAACAGCATTTTATTCGCTACATTCTTAAAATCCTGTTTTATGCCATGTTAATAATCAAGCAGATGGCCTATATCCATATCTTTGTAATATATATGTATTATATGGCGTGAAATAAATCATAGAGACAGGATCCATGGTTCCCCTGAATCCCTGCATACCTGTACACAAAGCTATTTGGTGCAAGTAGATATCTGCCCATACTGTGCGCACCTTGTAAGAAATCAATACAGTTATCTTATGCTTATCAGCCAGTCTCATGGTGCAGGCTCAGTATTAATCACCAGCCGCTAATTAATCTCTCGCACTAGCTGACAGCCCAAGGCTGTTACCAGCACAATGGGGAGCTTGTCTACTTATTAACCAGCCACTGAAACAAATAATCCATTCTCCCGAAGTGTGGCCAGCAAGTCATTGTGCCACTGGACTGGCCCTACAGCCCAAAACACTGAGCACACCAGGACCATACACTCAAAGCTTACTTCACATGGCAATGGCAAAACGAAGGCTAAAAGAGATTTAGTTTAATTCTCCAACTCTATTCACACCCCTTCTATTTGAGTCTCCATCTTGCTATTCATGGAAGTATAGCCTGTGGGCTCAGAAAGCTGTCACTAATACCAAGAGTCGATATAAAGCACCAACAGGTTTCCTACTTTGTTGCTAAAAATGTGTAGTCTATCTCTAATAATGACTGCAGCCAGAGAGATACAAACCAATTGCATATTAGCAGTGGAATATAGTGATACAGCGAAGATCCCTGCACTAGTGTATCACTATATTCTACTGCCGCGGTCTTCATATACTGCTAGAATTAACCTATTAGAGTCACATAGACTAACGGTATCTTACACCAGTATTTAAGTGGCAATAGGGATATTTTAATTACTATTATATTAGTTTTACATATATTAGTATTTCTTCTTTTTCCTCAATGTTTTGTACACGAGCACCCATTCACCTCTTGTTATTTGTATTAGATTTAATAAAATGAATTTATTTTAGATTCTTTTATCTTACCTCTGGTTACCATTCTGTGGATTTCTGGCCACGACCATTAAGTACATTCCAACCATCCCAGTCCCTATCGGTACACTTCTCCAGTTTGTTAGTTTTCCATTTGGGGTGACCCCCTGTATTTTAGTGTACCTAATATTGGTTCTATTCCACCTCTCTTTGTCCTTAGCGGTAAATGAGCGACAGTCTGCCATGTTTAATGCTCTGCGTTAACTAGTGTACGGCTATTAGAAGTAAATGAGACAGTCCGCCATGTCTAATTCTCTGCATTAATCAGTGTACGGCTATCAGTGGTGAATTAGAGACAGTCCGCCATATCTAATACTCTGCGTTAATTAGCGTATGTCTATTACCGGTACATTAGAGACAGTCTACCATGTCTAATGCTCTGGGTTAACTAGTGTACGGCTATTAGAAGTAAATGAGACAGGCCGCCATGTCTAATTCTCTGCATTAATCAGTGTACGGCTATCAGTGGTGAATTAGAGACAGTCCGCCATATCTAATACTCTGCATTAATCAGTGTACGGCTATCAGTGGTGAATTAGAGACAGTCCGCCATATCTAATACTCTGCGTTAATTAGCGTATGTCTATTACCGGTACATTAGAGACAGTCTACCATGTCTAATGCTCTGGGTTAACTAGTGTACGGCTATTAGAAGTAAATGAGACAGGCCGCCA